GGGTGATGGAGGCTGTAAGTGTCGATGTATTCGAAATGTCATAGTCGAACAAGATTGGTTGACAAACTATAATCAAAAGATGGTAATCAAAGGATCTAAGTTGGGTAAACGTGGTACAAGTATCCGTAGTTGGGTAATGATTATTGGAGGATTGTGGTCGAGTGATAGTGGTTATGGGGTTGTAAACAAAGGATGGTGGTGGAGCAACGATGGCTGAACAATGATGATAGAGTGAGAAATTTTAACTTCTTAGTATTATTTGGAAATCCAACATACATATAAATCTAGCACACATTTAAGAGAACAGTTGCAAAAGACACTAAAGTTTTTATGTGGAAAACTCACAAATGAAAATTTTGAGCTAATTTGTATTTAATTTGATTTTTTATTTTTATTATTATTTAAAGTCTATTTTTTTATTTAAATGAATTTCAAACTTAATAAAATTTATCACAAAAGTTGGATCTTATCCCATGATGATCTCACTAAAAAAATAAAGTAAATTAATTAGATGTCTTTCAAATTTATTTTCATTTATTTATTTTAATGATGTAATTTTATTAGAAAAATTATTTAAATGTGTTATAATTTTAAAACCTAAAGATTTGGCTCAGTTAAAATAAACTCATATACACATTGCATACGCAAGACTCGAACCCAAGGCAATTATTTTAATTTTTTTTGGATAAAACCTGCCGGGGGGGGCTATGCGTCAAACAAAATTAAATTACAAGCCTTTAAGCACCTTCAACTCTCTAAAAGTACAACCTTTGAAGAAAACCATACAAGCTAAAAGTTCTACCTATGAAAATGATAAGTATATGAAATTAAAACAACAAAACAAAGCAAACAAAGAAAAAAACAACAACTGAGCACTAGGAGGATCCCCAAACTGAGACGTGGAGCCACACGAGCCACCCAAAGCAACCTGCAAGACCAACAACACCAACGAAAAACAATAAACAAAACCAACTACTTCAATTTAGACTTCCTACCACGCTTGCCGCCTCTGTGAGAAAATATTTTTTCAACAATGCTATCCACGTTCAAACTATACATCACATGGAACTCATCGAAAGACTCACCAAAGTCATTCCTAACACCCTTGTAGGATACATAATTAGACTCAACCAACCAATCATTTTGATCCAAACAAGTATCCTTCATATTCAACAACAATTGATCTTCAAATTAAACATCATTTGAAATAATAGAAATAGGAAAATCAATAAACAAATCCCCATTAAAGGGTAGAGAATCTGCATCCGATGAAGGCATGGGAGAACCATCATCCTCCCCAGGTTCCATTCCAAACGACATAGAGTTAAAACTAGGATGAGCAAAAGTAGAACTTGATCCATCAACACCATCACCAACATAAGGGGAGGCGATGGGAGAAGCAATATGGTTAACCCCACAACTATTAGTTCCCAAACTATCATTACCATCCTCACTTTCAACACAAGCTATGTTGCACCGATACACCTATTTATGAAGGCGTGCTGTATCCGATACACCGATACGCCTCCGATACTCCACCGATACGTGTCGGATACACCAAAGACGTATCCAATTAAAATACTATTTAATTTCAAAAGGATACGCGTATCTGATACATGTGTCCGTTGAAAAACAAAAAGAAATTCAGAAAAAAAAAAAAGATGTGTCGTATTTACTTCCGCGGTTGCGAGCAAAGTTCTCTCATTTCCGAGATGGATTTGAGTCTCTTTATGATATGAGAATATTAGAAATTACTAATATTTCACTTGATGAGCCTGAATTAAAAGCTATGATATTTATTGAAGATGATGTAGAAGTTCAAAGACAAACCACTGAAGAAGCTAATCATATTATTCCTTATATTGAATAGTTGAAACTTTATGTGCTAGACAATTTATGTTTATGCTTTTGTTGTTGTACTAGACATTTAATGTTTACTTATATTTTGATATTTTGATATTATAAGCTACAAGGCTACAAATGATGTTGTTGTCATTTTTTTGTAATTTCAAATATTATGCTTTGATTGATTTCTTAATTTTTATGTATGATTTATAAATTATGATGCCGTGTCCGCGCTGTATCCGTATCCTGTATTTTTAAGAATTGGCGTGTCCTGTATCCGTATCGTGTCGTATCCGTGTCGCCGTATCCGTATCGGTGCAACATAGAACACAAGCAATAGGCAAATGCAAAACAGTATTCAACGGACCAGTTTCCTCCTCAGACCTTATTCCCAAATGTGAAAATCACCAGGAATCTTCAACATATCATAAGAAGCTTCAATGCAATCACCCCCATTAGCCACCAACGCATTAACAAGAGATACAAGAGTCAAATTAGGGATTACAATATTATCCACATTTTCCAAAATAACATTCACATTTCCATCAGAACTAACAATATTAATAGCAGAAGAACCTGAATTTAAGATATCATATTCCTTGTAATCATGGCCCAAGGCTTTACAGTGATCGTAAAAAGAGGGTAGATCTTCCATCACAACTGATTGAACATAACCCAACTTTTTTGGACAAATCCAAACAACATTGGGATTATATTTTGTTATAGATAGTTCAACTAAAACCCGCGCAACCGTAGGGCATGAACCCACAGAGGTTGAATTGTCAATGTGCAAAAGCCAACCAAATAAAGAGCTCAATCCATGTAACCCAAGACAATTTATTTATTTATTTATTTAACCCAAGACTTTTTTTTTCCAAAAAGAGTTAAATTTCCATTCCATAAAAGGCATTATTTTTTTGGAGATTTTTTTATACGTACCATAATTTTTTTAAAGAATAATTTATTCCATTAAAAAGTGAAAGATACAAGCAAATCCAAAAGAGGATTAAGCATCACAAGCTAAAAGAGAAAAGTCACAAGGAAAAAAACAACCAACAAAGAAAAATCAAAAAAGCCGGGCTCAATTAGTGGCGAACAATCTGTGACCACCCAAACGGTAGATAAGGGCCATCCATAGGGCAGGAACAGGCTACAAGAAGATAATCCGAATGGACAAGTATAGCAACATCTCGCAAGAATATCAGCAAGTTGTTGCCAGCAGTGGTTGTCAGCAAGCCCAACCGATCATATGGAGAGCAGATCCACCTCATCATTGCCCATGCTTAAGAAATTGGCCACACCATCCAAGCCAACGAAAGCCAGTCGCAACACCAAAGCCAAAATGCCAGATAACCAAACAAAAACAACCAAAGACCCCCACCAACCACGAAAGGCAACATCTAGACAGAAACAAACGCCACAAACATTATTTAGATTTCCTACGACATCGCTTTCCCCTCCCCAAAGAACAATCTTTTTCCACAAAATGAACCACCTGCAAACCATAAAATTCATGTAAATCATTAGCTGAATCAGCCAAACAAGCCCCTCCCCTTCCCGACTAATAGAGGAAACATCCAACCAATCAAAATGGTCCACTAAGCAATCTCTCAACTTACTAACCAAATGAGATTGCAACACAATATTGGAAATTAGAGACACCTGCATCAACAAATTGAGCATGCATAAGCACCCCTATTGGAGAATCTGAAATAGTTACAGGAGAAACATCAGCTAACACACCTAACTTAGAGGACCCATCATCTATCACCTTATTAACACCACATTGACCCCTCAAACTCTTCCACTAGCTTGTCACTAGAAACAAAGCTATTAGGGGGCTTCTGATCAGTAGCAATAGGAGAAACAACTTCCGCAGACACGTACAATAGCCCCCTCCAAATTAAATAGTAGGAGGGTCCAAATAAACCATAGGGACATCGGCATTAACCAGGGAGAAATCTACAGGCACAGGAACCTCCTTCGAAACCTCCGAAGTAGGGACCAAAACATCCACAGTCGCTACAACATCAGCCACACCCACAGGCACCACCACACGACCAACCCCAGAAACAGGCTGAATACCATCAACATGCATGGGCAACCAGTACATCAACATGATTCAAAACAGAAGGGGCTAAAGCTAAATGGGGATGAAGGATATGGCATTCAATTTTCGAGTGCCCCAAAGACTTTCAATGTGAACAATAAAAGGGAAAAAGCCTTCATAACCACCTGTTGAATATACCCCAAAGTTTTCGGACCAACCCACACCTTATCAGAAAAAGATTTGGTTACATCCAATTCTACTAGGACATAAGAAATCGAAGGCCTAGAGCCAGAAGATGTTGTGTGATCAATCTTTAGAGGATGACCAAACATAAAACCCAGCCCATGAATAATCCTAGGGGAGAATAGATGGGGTCTCAGGTTCGGAAAAGAAACTCAATTTGAATAATGGGCAATTTAATCTCAACATCAAAAGTTGGAGTCCACTTGAAAATCTTCATGAAGCAGCTATTCATGAAATAAGAATGGTGAGCAAACACACGACAGTAATCTAAGTCATTAACAAGTTTGATTAATACATTCTTAGGATTAAGAACGGTAACAGAAAATTCACCATTGAGTTTGAGATTGAAAAAAAAATTGCGAATGGCCTCAAGCGTAGGTAATCCGTACCATAAAATAAATTTTTGCTAAACTAGAAATTAGGGTTTGAATTTTGAACCTCCAAATGAATTCAAATTTTCATAAAATTTAATTCACAAGTAAGAGTAGAATATTTTCTGAAAATTTGAATTCATTTGGAATTATTTATGATTAATTATGATTTATTAAAATTATTTATTTATTAATCTTACAAATTTAATAGAGCATGTTTAATGCTCACAAATTCTTTCAAATTTATTTTCTCTCAAGCTAGTGTTGATTAAAACAAAAAGATCCGACTCCTAAAAATATAACAAAAGAAGGATTGCAAGGCTTTAATACAACAAGATTAGTGTCATCCAATCTATTTAAATGGAATTAACAATGATCCCTCAATCTCCTACCTCCAGCTGAAGATTGCAGCTCTTTCTTTCTATTTCACACTCATTTGATCCATTTTGTTCATTATTTGTTATTATTATTATTATTATTATCACAAAAGGAAAAAAAATCCATTATCTTCTGCTCATTGATTAACATTCATAACAAGTGAACAAGCTTATTCAATCTTTAATGTTCTTTTGGTATTCTTGGCGAGTGTATAAGCGAAGAAGCCAACATAGAATTATGGCAATTAGCATCCAAGCTAGTATACAATTAATCAACCTATGCCCCTGACAAAATCTTTGAGTTTCAGTTGCTGCTGCTGTATTATGGCCTGATTTGATCGAGTCCTCAATGGTTTTGGTATCCCCAAATCCAACCAAATTTCTCACAGTTGAGCCACAAATTTCGCAGATCCTGAAAATAAAAAATTCAGAATGATAAATCAAAATATGTTCATAGGAAGATAGAGAATTCACCACAAAGATACAAAGAAAGGTCTTTTTTTTTCCTTTTCTATTATAATTGAATGGCTTTTTCTACAAGTACCAAAGAATTAGAAGGAAATATCAGTGCCAAGTTTTCTTCTAATTATATAATGAATGATATTACTTTGAGAGATTTGTAATATTCAAACTAAAACACCAATAAGAAAAGATTCTCTCACTTGTTTCCTTTGATTTTAAACCATTTCTCTGCACATTTCTGGTGGGCAAAAGCCAAATCACCGTTACAGGAACAGCCCAAGGCAATTGGAATGCCCAATTCCCGGCTATAAGACTCTAAATTGATAGAACAAATCCTGCAATCCTTCTCAGACTCTTCCACTATCAACTTAACATCCACTGGCCCTGACTCCAAATCCAAGTCAGAGGAAGTATTTGAGTCGCAGGAGCTTCTGCAAGGCTTCTGAACTCCAGCTTTCTCAATATTGCATGCCGTTGAAGGCTGGCAATAATCAAAAGGCAATTTTGTTTCATAATTTGAATTGCAATTCTCATTCTTAGCTTCAGTCAAGCATATAACAACAAAATTCTCGTATTGAGAATGTCTCTCTTCCAAACATGCCATTTTTACGTATCAGAACCAATTGGGAGAAGATACTGATAGAGAAGGCAAAGTGAAAAAAGCTGGGAACAGAAAGATTAATTGAAATCAAATGAAAGAAACACTCAGAAGGGTGAAGAAAAGAAACAAAAAAAAAAAGCATAGCTTTTACATAGAACTAGATCTAAAGGGTCACCTCTTCGAAAGCTCAATGGCAAAGTCTCAGAAAGACCAAGAAATCTCAGGAAGTCATCAAATCCATCAAGTTTGAACCTTTTTTCTGCTAACAAAAAGATAATCTTTTCGAAGAAGAGGAGATGATCAGAAGAACCCAGAAAGGAGACGGAAATCACTTCACTTCTATGTAGTTACAAAACAATTTGCGATTCATAAAATAAAAAGTAACGGGAGAGAAAAACGTTTGAAAAGGTAAAAGGGATCGATCGAGACTGCCTTGCAAAGATAAAGATGAACAGAAGAGAAATCAGTACTCGGGATAACAATAGAGAGATGAGCTGGTAGGACAGATGCCATTTTATAATTTTCACGGAGTAATGAATTAGAACCAGTAAAATATATTCACTTTAAAACAACCCCATGAAGTAATAATAATGCTACACGACTAAACTCTCATAAATTATTAAATATTTTTCTCTCTCTTTATCTATTTCTAAAAATATCATATAATTAATTTTTTTTTTATAATTATATGCTTCATAATATTCAAAATTAAAAAAAAAAAATATAACCCTTATCTTAATTTTTACAGAAACATATAAAAATATTTATTTCAAAGTAAAATACCTCAAAAATTTAAAAAAAAAACTTTTAATAAAAGAAAATTGATTGATATCTCAAAAAGATTTGAACTAATCAAACCACCATTCAATAGGAAGTTTTGCTTACTCTTCAAGTGAATAGAAAGAGCAAAATACAAATAGAAAAAAAATAAATTTCAGACTACAGAAAAATAATAGTAACTTTACTTTTTTATCACCCGCACTTTATATTGATTTATTGGTTGAAAATTTAGACAATAAATTAATAGATTTTAGGTTCGAATTTTATGTATGTAATATGTGTATGAATTTGTATTAATTGCTCTAAATATTCCAAAATAAAAAATACTTTCTTACAGAATATATATATATATATATATATATATATATTAAAGTCTCAAAATTATTGGTCAATATAAAACTTGAGATTAGTGATGGGTAAGTCTGCCTTGTTCATTAATTTAAGAAGCCGAACAACTATTCGAAATTTACTTGGTGAAAGAATATTCGAGCATATCCTTAGATACGTTAAAAGAGGTTTTAGAGGTACATCACCACGTCTTATCCACATTCAAAAAACTTTACATTTGGTTAATATTGTAAGTTAATTAGGTTGACCGTTAGCTAATGGCCCCCGGCTTTTTCAAAAGTCCTAATGATTTATATGATTTTTTGTTTTTGAGCCAATTAAGATAAACTCACACACACGTTACATGTACAAAGTTCTCAATCAAAAAATCAAGATGAGCTATATGATTTGTATGAGTTAACACTAATGCGTTCCATATTTACTACAACATTGATTAGGGGAGTTTTTTTTTTTCTTTGTTTTAATTAGGAAATCCAATTTTGTCGTTGATTAAGAGATTTAATTATGAGATTAATTAGAGAATTGATTAGGGCTTTCCTTATTAATTTTTGTTTCAAATCTATAACTAGAGGTTGAGGGGAGTTGTAATTGAGAGTAAGAGAGTCAATTGTAATCATATTTCTTCACAATATAGTGAAATCATCCCCTCCCTGTGAACGTAGGAGACTCTTCGGCGAACCACATAAATTGTATCATGTTCATTGTGTTTGGTTATGATTTTTGTGTTGTTTCCCACTGTTTTGCATAACAATTGCTATCAAAGCTAGGCTTCAGTACGATTTTTATTATGGTATCAAAGTAATAGTTTGGGAATGGATCGTAAAATAGAGCTATAGGAATTGATCTGTAATTCAAGTGGGATAGTTTTGAGTATGTCCGGATGTTTATTATTACATATTTCATATGCATGTATGTTCAGTTGCATATTTTGTATGATATTGGATCTATCATACTCACATATGACATATGAACAAAGTGCTAGCCTTGCGACTTCTATACATAGTACTGCTATGATAGTTGGTTCAGATATAATTTTGTAGTTTGCTACTTTGATAACTCAGATGATGGGCGAGGCACATAGTAGGATTCCTACGTACTATGAGATCTGATGAGGTAATATAAATATGTAGATATTTTTGAGATTAAAGCCTCCAAGATTTGTGAGTACTGTTGAGCCTAGAGTAGAAAGAAGACTGGTTGAGGAGGCTGGAGACGACATTTGATTGTATACAATGTCCTACTCAGAGGAAGGTTCCATCAGCAGTCTTTCTGTTAGATGGCGAGGTTGAGCATTGGTGGATGGGCTAGCATAAGAAGAAATTTCTATGGAGATTGAAATCTCTGATTTGTTGAGAGGAGTTCTCATCAGATGTGTCTAGAGCCTGGTTTGTACCACCTTCTTTATAATAGTCGATACATGAGATTTTTCTAAGACAAATTTAAGGGAAGATGATAGCTACGCAATACGATGAAGAGTTCACTGCTTTTGGTCAAATATGCTCTGCAACTAGTTAGTACTCCCACGAAGAAGTGTTACAGATTTCTGAGAGGACTTCATGATAGTCTGATACAGCCTATAGTGCCATTTCAAATTTCTGATTTATTTAAGCTTGTGGATAGAGCTTGTCTGATAGAAAATGGTCTGCTGGTTACTCAGCGGTGGTGGACTACTAGTAGAAAGCGGTTTAGAGATGAGACTTCTAGTAGTGGCTTTTCTGGGAAGAAGAGCAGATTTACATGAGGAGACTTCATAAAAGGTGGATAGTCAATGTCTGCATTAGTATTTGGCAGTGGCAGCATAACCAGATCTGGTTCAGTTAGTGGGCACTTATGTCCCATAGTTGTGGAAGACGTTATTCTAGTCAGTGCTACTTGATGATTGGACATTGGTTTAGATGCGGTCAGGTAGGCACCGGGTAGTAGAGTATCCACAGGAAAGATTCGATCGACATTCTGATCCCAGATTTAAGAGTTCTATTAGATTAATAGGGAGACCGCGGATAGTTCCACTTCGTACCTTTGTTCGGAGTTTTGTTGGTAGAGGTAATGGTTCTGATTCAGTTGCAGGTAGTCCATCTGACAGTGGTTAGAGAGATGCTGGCATTATTGTTGCTTCAGCTATACTTCAGCCATGTGTGCATAGTTTAACTCAGCAGGAGACTCGAGATGCCTCAAATATTGTGACGGGTCTTCAAAACACATACCAGTAAATCAATAGTTATAAAACACGTTCCGCTTCATGCAATTAAAGATAATTGAACCTCCAAAAGTATCTCTGATTGACAAACTCGACCCTACGAATAGCTCAAAGGCAGTACATTGTGCAAAAAATGACACCTTCGGGCGAGCATAAATTGCTCTGATCTACACTTGTTAAGAGCATGACTAGTAACTTTTCACCAAGGACAAGCTCCCAATTCAGAAGGCTTATCTTGGATTTACACAAAGCATGAAGGTTTTCATCTAGGAAATTTTTTGGATTTTTATTACTTTCGAAAATTAAATTTTCTATATTTTGCATTTAAAATCTTTGTTATGATTAAAGGCAGCAGACAATTAAGTTGACCGAGAGTCATTCCGACTTGCTTCTCTATACTTCCTTTGTTTTTTGCTTCCGGAGCCCTCATTACTAGTTCTGGCATAAAAAAAAAAACATTTGCTTGTTGGTTTCTTCCTTTTCTAGGACTTATTACAGATTTTTTTCCGAATCTATTAATGCATTTGTTGTAGGAAGAGATGAGAAACACTCTTTATTTATCCCATGGGTATTTACATTGCTGGTTGACTTAAATGCTTTTCATTATCTTCTAAAGATTTTTTATTTCAAAACCTTCAAACAAGTACTTCGGCCAGAATGTGGATGGCAGCCCGTGCCGTTAACCGATTTGATTATATCTGCTGCTGTTAGGGTTTATAGGAAATCTACCTTGTGTATTCATCCTGATAAGATAACTTCCCAAGATGGTCTATACCGGGTGACTGAGGTCAGAAGGATCGTAGTTGGTCGACGGTGTTCAGAGGGATCGTAGTCGGCCGTTGATGGTGGTTAGAAGGACCGTAGTCGGTGATGTAGGTCGAAAAGGCTGTAGATGGCGGGCGACAAAGGTCAGAAGGACCATACCATAGTCAGGCGACGGTGGTGGTCCAAAGGACCGTAGTCGGCAAGCGACAGAGGTCGAGCGAAGAGCCATGGTGACGACCGGACGCAGGCCATTTGACCACGATTAGCGATTGAGAAGAGATCTAATGGCGATAATGCTCAGGAGGAGATCCGCAATAATTAGCAGATGGGCGGAACTCCAACAACAATTGGTGGTTGGGAAGAGATATATCAACGGCAGCTGTAACAATTCAAACTCTTAACTTATCGAGATATTGTCCGCTTTGGCCTAAGAGCTTTACAGTTTTGTCATATTGGTGTAACTTTCTAATAGGTTTCTCATCCCATAATTGCTTTAGGATGAACACGCTTAACTAAGGAGTTTTTTAAATGAAATTCCAACCATTACACCCAAAAGGTACATCGATATTTAAGAATTTAGCTTTCTTTTACCTAATGAATTTTACAATCTCCTCCACTTAAGTAACTAACATCCTCGTCATCATCTTTATCTCAAAATCATTCATCAGACAGATAGGTTTCTAGAAGTGGATCATACAAGTTCATGTGGTGGCTCCTGTCATGTAATAATTTGTCCCATACAAGGTTCAAGAGGTGACTCCCATGAAGTAGCACTTTGACTTGTATGACACTTAGTTCTCATCTTCTAGCTGGTATTTGCTCAAATACAATTTGTAACAACCCAAACTCTTAACTTATCCAGATAATGTCCGCTTTGGCCTAAGAGCTTCACAACTTTGTTCTATTGGTGTAACTTCTTAGTAGATCACTCATCCCAAAATTATTCGGAAATGAGCACGCTTAACTACAAAGTTTCTTAAATGAAATTTCAATCATTATACCAAAAGGTGTCTCGATATTTAAGAGTTTAGTTTTCTTTTACTTAATGAGTTTCATAACAATAATGGCTAAAAATGTAAAAGTGCTCTCTAATTTTCTCTTTTTTCCCACTTACATCGTGTGAAGAATGATGGTCTGTTTATAATTTTTTGAAAGGGGCATGCTTCGTGAATTTCAAGATGATCTAAGGTAAATTCGGAGTGCTTTATCAGACGGCTCATACTAATTCCCTCGATCATAAAGTGTTTATCAAGCATTTAAGTGCCTTAATGTTATCAGAATTAAGTGATCTTAGGCTATTGGATTTGTCTCGTCGAGCGGCTCGATTCGATTAGAAGCCTATCGTATTTGAATATCATTCGGTCATCCAATTAATGCTTTTAAGCTTTCAAATACATTTT